CACTCATGCGAGTTCTTCACAAAAATGAGTAAAGAAGTGGCTTGAAGTTCTACGGGAGGTGGGCTCCATTACTAGTCCGCTAGGATGGTCAACCAGGAACTCCTAAGGCTAGATTATGGGTTCTGGGAGTAGGAGACTAAGACCTCACAAAAATGAGGTCAACAAAACACTATATTTTTTATCATTTTTTTATAATGGCTATTATAAAATGTTTTGGCACTTGTAATTTGCTTTATCTAAAGTTTGCAAAGTAATAATTAACAACTTGCTTTTCATAAATGTATGCGGTTTTTATTAAAAGTAAAACCCAAAGAATAACTAAATGGTTGAGATAATTTGAGCTCATCAAGAAAAATTTAGAAACATATAAAAGTGGCGAGCAGCTGTAATTAATTTTAACTGAATTTCTGTTATGTCACGTTTGAATTAAATTAACAGCGCTAACAATATCAAATTACATATTTATAAATAACTATAAAAGCAAGAATCAGGAGTATGAAAAAGTAAAAACTACTAACTAGTTCTTGATAAGCACACAAGATGTCAACAAGAAAACAAACCTTATTCTCAATGATTAAGGCACTCTCTCTTGATCTTTCGGCCCAACACGCAGAAGATGATTATTCTCTGTCCGTGGCACCTGCAATCACCTAGAGTTTGGCTTGTAGTCAACCTTTACTTGCAACTGCGTCTTTCTAGTCTTAGCCAAGAAGTCACGGAACCTACTTGCCTTCAGCCTGTTTCACGTCCGATAAATATTTTTTTTAATAATTATTTATTATCTAAGGACACGCCAATCACCATAATGAAGGTCATTCACGGAAGGAGACCATAACTCTTGAGCATGTTGAACTAGAATAGGCTCCTTTCCTAAAGACAAAACACACCTTAGGAAGCTCGGGAGCAACTCGAGCCCGCTACACCTGACCTAACGCAAAAGGTCACAAATATTTCACAAGTCATCTCATTGTTATTCTCATTCGCTTTTTACTTGTCACTTATAGATTCTGGAGAACCTAAGTATTACAATGAAGCTACACATAGAAAAGATTCTGTTACATGGGAGCGTTTATGAGAGAAAAAGTTACAATCTTCATATAAAAATAACACTTAAACATTGACCAAGCTATTTGAAACCAAAAAGAATTTGCAAAACTAATGGATATAATGATATAAGTAAAAAAAGGTATAATCTTCATATAAGAATAGCACTTAATCTTCATATAAGAATAGATCTTCATATAAGAATAGCACTTAAACATTGACCAAGCTATTTGAAACCAAAAAAAATTTGCAAAACTAATGGATATAATGATATATTAAGTTAAGAATAGAAAGGCACTAGACAAGACTGGTTGCTATGCGTTTTCACATAAAGAATGTAAAGACTTGATAGAGAAAGGTACAATCTTCATATAAGAATAGCACTTAAACATTGACCAAGGTATTTGAAACCAAAAAGAATTTGCAAAACTAATGGATATAATGATATATTAAGTTAAGAATAGAAAGGTACTAGACAAGACTTGTTGCTATGCGTTTTCAACATAAAGAATGTAAAGACTTGATAGAGATATTCTCTTCTACAATTATACTAATGATTATTCTTCTAATTTTGACCATTATAGTAGTATAAGATCTATATCTTGAATAAATGGATGTCACGATAATTTTCCTCTAACAAATCTATTTTAATTGAACCATTAGGCTTTACAAAGCCTGGAACAAAGCCTTATGTATAAGTTAAATAAATTTCTACGGTTTAAAGCATGCACTTCATTGATGATACCAAAATTTTGGTCATGCGTAAGATTGGATTTCACATAATGCCTACCACTGCTCCTAAAATGAATAGGAAAAGATTGCATTTATTTATTATTGTACTTTGATGGCATTCTTGCATGGGCTGATATTCAAACGAGCAGTAATCTGAAGAAGCAATTATTGGAGGGGTTTTACATGAAATATTTGGGAGAAGCAATGAGCTGAGAATAAATTGTAATAAGGCCACAAGTACACTAAGTGTTTTACAATCACAATGTATTGGATATATGTTTTATAGGATGAAGGCAAAGATTATAAGTACGTTGCTAGTTAGTCATTCCAGATTATATAAAGAATATAGGTTAGAAACTGAGAAGGAAAATGCGTACATGGCTGAATTCCTTTTAATTTTTTAGTCTTTTATGTATGATTCACACATGATCAGATATTGCTCAAGAAGTAGGAGCAGTTAGTTGATATAAATCCAATCCCAGAAAAGAATATTATAAACTTGTGAAGTGGATATTACGTGATCTAAACGGGCAATCATCTATATTTTGAAGTTTACAAGAATCAACCTAAAACTGCCAATTTATATGATTTAGGTATAAGAGGTGACCTAGTTACCATAAGTAGTATCATTGAGTGTATTTAGGCTTTTGGTGGCACTAATATTGTTTTATTGTCACAACTTGAAAAGATTCTCGCTCTGGACTACAAAAGCTGAATATGTGGTAGTCATTGAAGCTAATAAAAAGTTGGCAAGATTTTATAGAAGGATTAGATTAATTTTAACAATGATCACTTTTTTATGCGAAAGTTGAATGCTACTCACTATGGAAAGAACACCATCTTTCATTTCTAGATAAAACACTGGCAACTCATGTACCATTATATATTTAGGTTGGTGGAAATTGATGCTTTACAACTTATCAAAATTAAAAGAGCATAGAACTCCTATATTTTGCTCGTAAAAGTACTACCTATTGAGAAGTCGAGGCTTTATGAAGTGTTAGTTAACCTTGATGAATGATGATGCGAAGGAGTTATGCAGCAAGTGTTAGGACATGACCGCTAAGTTGGTGTATTAAAATTTCAAATTTTAAGTGAGAGACTGTTACGTTTGGAGTATAAATTACATTAATTACCTTGGATAAAATTGGTTTTGATTTTTCAAGAGCGGTAGCTATCGACTCCAATGTTATTTTATATTTGAATTTTAAAATGGTGGGCACTTGACTTATTTCACATTTAATTTTTCAAGATGTTAGCTACCTGAAGATTTTCTATTCATGCTTAATCTTTCTAACTAACCATTACATATGACAATAAAATAATGGAGAAACATATGTATCAACCATTCAACATTCACAACAAATAAATTGTTAGAGGAGAGACGGGGGAGAAAGAGTAGAAGAGATGAAAAGCTCTTACAATAGGGAAGAGAAGAGAGAAGAAAAAGAAGCAGCATCAACTTTTTATTCTTCTTGTTCATTCCTTGCCTTCACAACTGGTTATTGTGTTCTCTCTCAACTATCAACATAATTAAAGTGGTATTTCTTAAAAAAAAAAATTGTATGCTGAGACTGGAAATGTCTGAATTTAAATCTCAAAAAATTCAGGCAAGTATCATTTCTTGGTTTCCAGGGATGAAGTTTTTTATCGGCATTGTATCCAAATCCTTAGTAAAAAAAGTACATGGGAGTTGCCTTGGTAAAATGGTTGGTCTTCATTTGATAACTTGAACTTTGCAGGCTCTCCTGTTGAAATTGCATAAATTTTTTTTTTTGGGCAAATTGCTCTAAACATCAACTTTTTTCTACTTGGCAAGTCACATGGCATCTTCTGTTGAAGACGTTGTGCTAAGTAAATTAATGTAATGATCATATCAACCTTTGATTATCGCAGGTATTTGACTTGATATTTTATGATCACAGTTTCAATGATTTTTGTAAGAAATGATGAAACTATAATCAAATTTGAAAGAAGAATAATTTTTTTGTCATTTTTTAAATGTTAGTGTCCAAACTGTAATTTACAATAAATTTGGATGATTTTTTGGTGCAAGTTACTTCAGTTTTTGGGGATGAAATAAAAAATTCATAATCTATTCTAGATGTGATTTAGTGATGGGTTTCAGGGTTTTTTTTTATTTTTTTTGTATAAACTTCAACTAATTCCTATATGTATTACTTGTATTTAGGTGCATCTTGTTATTTTTTATGAAATATGAAATTTTGCTATGTAGCTTCCGAAATCTTTCTTTATGATCTTCAAATAAATATTCCATTATTCATCATTTTACCAATGCATTACTAAAACTATTACCCTAAAGAAAACCGCACAATTTCTATGAGCGCAGAAAATAAAAATGGAGAGGTTGATGCGTCTGGCAAAGATTTATTAAGTAGCAGCCAAAAGACTGATTTCACATCTGTTATAAATGCATGGTATTGGGCAGGCTATCACACTGGCAGGCAAGCAATTCTTTTTGGGAGATTTACATGCATACCACTCAATTCTTTTTTATTTACATATCTAACACCTATACTTCAATTTTTACATATGTGCCACCTAACCATACAACAACATATGTATTTCATTTTTTAAAAGTTAAAATAGTGGTGTTTTTTACTTGATATGGAAGATTTGTGTGGTATAAATATAAAGAGTAAAATTTGGATGCTAGATATGTTAATAAATCGGAATTGGATGGTATGTATGCAAAAGCCCTATTTGTTTTCTCTTTTAGGTTTCTGTTTTTATTTAGACCTTTAAACTGCATCTAATATTAGTTTCTATGTGAAATTCATGCAAACACCGGCATCTGCAATCTGTGATGGAACTCTGTTTATTCTGAATTTACAGGATACCCGTTTATGAAATCTATAATGACCGCTGCATCAAAATTTTGAAAATGAGAAAATGTCAAAACAGTCTCTTAATTTTTCGCAAGGGGTCATTTTAATTCCAGGGTATATAGAAGTGCTACTTTAGTCCGCACATGCTTTTAATATGGGATGAAACAGTCCTCTATCAAAATTTTGGGACTAATTTGACACTTTTATAAACTCTGGGACTAAACTGACCCATATAAATAATCAAGAGAGAGACTATTTTGACGCTTTATTCTTATGAAAACCTTAGTTTGTCACGTAATCCTTCTACTTGAAATATTTCAGAAAAAGAAATTATCAATCAACAAAAAGAACAAACACCTATTAATTTTGATTTTTATCAGCCTTTTCTGATATTCTACTGGTGGAATGTTAACATTCTTCCTATTGTATTTCAGGTATCTTTTGGAGCAGGAGCATTCAGACAAGCTAAACAGTAGTATCTAAAGAGAAAGATGGCTGCAGATGATACTGATGGCCAAAAAGGCCACTGGTTTTGTGGTTTGAATTTCAATGATTTCATGAGGTATTTCAAATCAGGACGCTGAAGCTTTTGAAAATTATGAAATGTTTAAGAAGCCATTCTTGTGGTTCGGGATCTTATTCCATTAAACTTTGCTGCAATTTTCCTCGCCTTACCGTTATTGATCACTATATTGCTGGTGGACATGAAACACGTCTTCAGCTTTTTTTGGTTTTGCAATTTTTATTAACTTGTAGGGGTGTTGGTTCGGTTTCAGAAAAACATTTCAGCTTTTTATAGAATTTTGGTTTGTTCATGACTTATCTAATTCAAACTGAATTAAATTTTGGTTTGATTTGTCAGATTTCGGTTGGATTCAATTTGATTAAGAAAATCGATCCATCCATACTGATTGAATGCTCTCTCCTAAATTACTTGAACCAACATAAACTGAAAGAATTGGGTGGTATAAATGTTAAAAATAGAGTTTAGATGTTAGATATGTAAATACATAAGAAGTGGGCAGTGTATGTTAATGCCCCACAATTACATAACTTCTCTTAAATTTAAGAGTGTTGAGTCGCTGCTTTCCCTCCGTAAAATTATAATTATGCTCATAGATTGGTGTCATTGTAGTTTACTAGATGCGTTCAGATGACGGAGATGACGGCATTGATGGCTCATAAAATTGTGGGATAATATAGCTTTAAGTTTGACCACTTATAAAATTTTGGATTTGATTGCTGGCCGTTCATGAAACAAAAAATTGTGAACTACTACATATTAAGTATCCATTAATTGAATATGAGTTCAATTTTTTTTGGGTTGGCCCACAGCACATCAAACTTAGAAAATTTTAAATTTATTATTATTATTATTATTTTGCTTCGACTTATGATTGACTCAAAATCAACCTAAATCCGGGTCGAATTCACTGAAACATAATTACATTGTTAGATTTGAATCTGATTTTTTATCCAAGTAATAATATCACTTAGAGCGACTCAAAAAAATATGGAAGAATTCCATAAATATCACCTAATTCCCATTTATTATATATCTAATGTTGTGAAAAAGATTGCAAGAAATCGAAAAATAAGAATGAGAAAATTGCAACACAATAAGCGGCCACATAAATTTAAGTGATTCGGCAAATTGTCTATGTTCATGGAGTTACAGAGTATTCGAGGATTTTACACAACAATACTTAAATTTACAAAAAACACTCATCTCAACTTCAAAGAATTACAAAATCAATATTTTTCCTTCTTCCTTTATTTCTTCACTGCCTGTCGAAAGCCTCTCCCTCTTCTCTGTCGTAGACCAGCCGAAGACGAAGGAAGAACTCAGTTTGCGATATTGCCGCCCGCCGAAAGCTCTTGCTGTTGCTCACTTCTTCGTTCGTGAACCCAAGGGAGAAAGTGCCGAAGCTGTCTGTCGCACGCCCAAAATCAAAGCCCCTTTTCCTTCTTCGTTCGCGAACCCAAGGGAGAAAGTGCTGAAGCTTTCTGTTCGCATGCCCGAAGCTGAAGCTCCGTTTTTTTCTTCGTTCCCAAGATTAAGTAGTGCCAGTAATAAGAAGAGTGAAGCGATTTTTCGCTTCGCGGCAGAGGAGGGAGGAGGGAGGCGTGCAGGAGCAGTTATATTTTTCCCCTTTTTGTTTAGAATTTTTGTGTAATGGACTCCTCATTCTCAACATCTAACACCTAGATTTTAAATTTCTACCTACTTGCTATCTTAATTATGCATGAAAATTTTTACTTCACCTTTTAAAAGTTAAAATAGTGATATTAAAGATTTGTATTTATAAATTTAACCAAGCAAAGTTTTTGTGTTACACATGTAAATACATAAGAATTAGGTGGTATGTATGTAAATGCCCTAAAAATTATTTATAACATCACTAAAATTTGCTAATAAAATGTATTATATTTATGTGTACTAATAATTGGTTTTACTGAAACAATGCATATATTAATAGGCCTCCCTTACCTAGGGAGCCCATCTTCTTAAAACAAAATCATTACATCTGCTAACTTCATACGTTGGATGTGGTAGTTGGAGTTATCATTCAAGGTGTAATGCCAACCTCTCATATCGATGTGTTAACTAACAAGTACCAGAAGTAGCCGGGGTGACCTACCAATCTTTCAACAAGTTGAGGTGAAGGTCATCATTAAATATTAGACATATGTCAATCTTCATTTACGAGTCATCTGATACTCACATCACTATCTTTTGATTGAAATATTGCGGACTAACTTTGTACAGCATAATCTATATTTGTTTATATTTTCTCTCTCTTGATAGTCTCGCAAAGGTGTAGAGTCATCTATAAGTCATATAAATAAATTATAGAGCGGCTTTTCATCTCCCCTTTTTTTTCCCTCATTTCGTACAACACAAGTCTTCTCGAATTGTTGGGTCCACGAATAATACATGATCCAACATCCTAATGGGTCCACGAATAATACATGATCCAACATCCTAATGGGTCCACGAATAATACATGATCCAACATCCTAATGATAGACGGTGCGACATACTAAAGAATTCAATCACTTTCAATGCCGACCAAAGTATAGACGACAATAATGTTGTCATCCCGGTCCCCGGCTTTGCATCATAATAATTAAAAATAAATAAATATTTTTTTTTCTCACAATCATTTAACAGCTAATGAATTTTCCACAATAATTCCATGGCTAATTTTGCAGCCTACTTAGCCGCTATCGGACCGAGTTCGGTTCCTCACGCAATCCGCCAAACTCTTTCAAAGCTCCCGTTTTGAATTCTTCCCGGCTCTGCGTAAAAGCGCAGAGTCCATATAAGCTCGTCCTTCCCGCACCAGCCCTACTACCACTCCCCTGTTTCACATTTCAACGCCCTCTTCCGTTAAAGCCAACAATGCATCCTCAGAGATTTTAATTTGATTCGCAAAGTTTCAAATTTCAAAACAGCTCATCAAATCACTCAGTTTTGGTATTTCAAGTTTGGATTTTGATGAGCGGAGTACAGAGCAAGACCCAATCGACAGAGACGATGTCCTCGGAGCAAAACCAGGGGAATCCGCCACCACCGCCGCCGCCGCTGCCGAAGAAAGTTATTTTCACCCGGCGAACAGCCTCCCGCAGGTACATCAGGTGGACTTCAGCAAATACTTCAGACAACGTGGACTTAAGCAAATACGTTGTACAGTTTCCGTTGACGCCGGACAACCAACCCATGGAGGTCGTTCCCCTCAATCCAGACCGCTCAAAGAAGGCGGCGGAGGGGTTCGACGGCGATGTTCCTGCGGCGAAGTTTGGGAGGAAGATGAAGAGGGGAGCGGCAGGGGACTTTGACTGTAACCATCTGCTGTTCGGGACAAAAGGGACTTACGGGTATGGGAACGCGATTAGAGAGGAGGAAGACGAAGCAGGGGAGCGTGAGAGTTTCGACGGCAAGACGTGGCGGCCGCTCACTCAAAAGCTTAAGATTCCGGCGGCCATACTGAGTCCTTACAGGTCTGTTCTACCGGCATGGAGCTCTATAACATTACAGTTGCGTCTGATTTTTTAAAAAGAAAAGTAACGGTCAGATTATTATTGTACAATTTTGAATTTAATAGATTTTTTTTAAAAAAATATCGGATTTATAGTTATAAAATATTAGGATAATTATATATAGTCACTAATGCATAATTATATACACCCTCTTTATAATTGAACACACTGAATAATTTATTAATCGTAATTTAGTTATTTATTTTTTAATAATTAAAAAATATTATTTTCTTTTGAAAAATATATATATATATTTTTAATAGCAAACGTCCAAAATCATTGGAAGTTTAATTTAAACAAAAAATATATATAAAAAAAAAGGTTTACAAAATATTGTTTGCTTTCTGTTGTTTTTGATATCTTATTTTGCCCCAATAGTTTTGGATTATATACATTATATACATTGTTACATTGAGAACAACGATAGCAAACAAAGCCGAGTTAGAGCGACCTCAGGCTTAGCTCATGTTCAGCTCATTCAAAATTAATTTGTGTTCCAAATTGCTCCTGAAATCTGTGTTTGGTTCGACCCGATTTATATGAACATTCCGTTCAAAATTAGTCTATTTAAATCAATTAGAAAAATAAATGTAGGGAACGTATATTATTGCTATGCAATAAAAGCTCATAGCCACAAGACCACATGGGTTTAAGTTTAGATAACAATGAAAATAAGCACATCATTTTCAGAATGATAAGCTTTTTTTAGTTGTCCTATATGGAAATAGAAGAGATAAATTTGATTTTATTTATATGCCCCCTAATACATCTAATTGGAAATATATCTCATTAATTGGTTGTTTTGTTGGAGAAACATAATTGAAATTTTATTTCAGATGTAATTACCCCTCTGTTGGCTCCTAAATTGCTTATTGAAGTCTTCTTGTAGTCTATTAAGATTTCATCGACAATTTATTAAATTAGATTTATGTTTGTATCATAAAGGTTCCCTTCCTTATTATGTTTAATAGGGAATCTAAGACGTTTTTCAAAATTTCTATTATATTGAGGCCATCACAACATGCGAGGGGACTAAGGCCCGTTTGGGGCAGCTTATTTGATGCGATGATGTTTTTGAAATCATACTTGACGGATTTGGGTAAACCGAGTTTTGGCAGCTTATACGTTTTGATAATGTTGAAAGCAACATTTTCAAGTGTGGTGACAGCTTTTTGGCAACGATCTGACTTTTCTAAATAAATAAAAATTTATAATAGTCATTGCATCTAGATTATTAGAAGATTATTTTTAATCAATTTATGAGCAGATTATTCAATAAGCTACGTCTGCCCAGACATACCCTAAATAATTTCTCATGAATATGAGCTAACGAGCTAATGCGTACATAACAAACCTGCAGGCTTCTAATCGGCGTCCGGGCGGCAGCTCTTGCACTGTTCCTCACTTGGCGAATAACCCACAAGAACGGAGACGCCATCTGGTTGTGGGGCATCTCCCTTGTCTGCGAGCTCTGGTTCGCCCTCTCATGGCTCATCGATCAACTCCCCAAACTCTCCCCCATCGACCGCGCCGCCGACCTCTCCCTCCTCCACCAAAAATTTGAGTCTCCCTCCCCATCCAATCCCACCGGCAAATCCGACCTCCCCTCCATCGACATCTTCGTCTCCACCTCCGATCCCGACAGAGAACCCCCTCTGATCACCGCCAACACGATCCTCTCCATCCTCGCCGCCGATTACCCCGTCGAGAAACTCACCTGCTACCTCTCCGACGACGCCGCCTCCCTCCTCACCTTCGAATCCATCGCCCAAGCTGCCTCCTTTGCCTCCCTCTGGGTCCCCTTCTGCCGCAAACACCGCATCGAACCCCGCAACCCCGACAGCTACTTCTCCCTCAATCGCGATCCATACAAAAACAAACTCCGGCCAGACTTTGTTCGTGATCGCCGCCGCGTCAAGCGCGAATACGACGAATTCAAAGTACGCATCAACAGTCTCCTGGAGTCCATCCGCCGCCGCTCCGATGGCTTCCAGGCCGAAGAGGAGCTCAAAGCCTCCTCCATCGACCCAACCGTTAAGATTCCTAAAGCTACATGGATGGCCGACGGCTCCCACTGGCCCGGTGCGTGGGCGAATTCCGCCGCCAATAACTCCCCTGGAGACCACTCTGCTATCATCCAAGTCATGCTCAAACTCCCACAAGACCATCCCATCCTCGGCGGCGCCGCCGTGATCGATTTATCAGAAGTAGACATCCGGCTGCCTATGCTCGTCTACGCGTCGCGAGAGAAACGCTCGGTTTCCAACCATCACAAAAAGGCCGGCGCCATGAATGCTCTGTTGCGTGCCTCTGCTATAATGTCTAACGGACCTTTCGTTCTAAACCTCGACTGCGACCACTATATTTATAACTCGCAGGCGCTGCGCCAAGGTATGTGCTTTATGATGGATCGCGGCGGCGATCGCATTGGTTACGTTCAATTTCCGCAGAGATTCGAGGGGATTGACTCTTCGGATCGATATGCAAATCACAACACCGTCTTCTTCGAGGTCAATATGCGCGCGCTCGATGGCTTGCAGGGCCCTCTCTACGTCGGCACCGGATGTCTCTTTCGCCGCATTGCTCTTTACGGCTTCGGACCGCCGCGCGCGAAGGATTACCGGTCCATTCACCTGCAGCCGGACTTATCGACTTCTAGTAGCGGCAAATTCGGCAACTCGATCTTCCTGCTGGATTCCATTCCCGTGACGGAGTACCAAGGCCGACCGCTCGCCGACCACCCGTCGGTGAGAAATGGCCGCCCTTTTGGAGCGCTAATGTTCCAACGCGATCCGCTCGACGCCTCCACGGTGGCGGAGGCCATTAACGTGGTGTCATGCTTGTACGAGGAGAAGACGGAATGGGGGACTCGGATTGGGTGGATATACGGTTCGGTCACCGAGCACTTTGTGACGGGCTACCGGATGCATAACCGCGGGTGGCGGTCGATCTACTGTGCCACCAAAGGTGACGCCTTTCGAGGCAAAGCGCCCATTAACCTCACGGACAGGCTCCACCAGGTTCTCCGTTCTGCAACTGGTTCGGTGGAAATCTTTTTCTCACGCAATAATGCTCTGTTCGCTACCTCCAAGATGAAATTTTTGCAGCGCTTGGCTTACTTCAACCTTAGCGTTTACCCCTTCAGCTCTTTCTTCCTCACTGCCTACTGTTTCCTCCCGGCGCTTTCGCTCTTCTCCGAACAGTTTATTGTGCAGAGCCTAGATATCACCTTCCTCGTTTACCTACTTGTCATTGCCCTCACTCTCTGTCTTCTCGCCATTTCAGAGCTCAGGTGGTCTGGGATTGAGCTCGAGGAATGGTGGCAGAATGAGCAGTTTTGGTTCATCGGCAGCACAAGCGCTCACCTTGCTGCCGTGTTGCAGGGGTTGCTTAAATCTGTGGCTGGGATTAAGGTCTATTGTTCTCTTACCTCAAAGTCGGCCACCGGCGACGTTGACGGCGGCGGCGAAGAAAACGACGATGAGCTCGATGATCGCTACGCCGTGAAATGGACATGGCTGATGGTTCTTCCTCTGACAATCATCTTGGTGAACTTGATCGCCATTGCTGTGGGGGTGAGCAGAACCCTGTACTCCATTATTCCGCAATGGAGCCGGCTGCTTGTTGGATTGTTCTTTAGCTTCTGGGTGCTGGCTCACCTCTATCCTTTCGCTAAAGGTTTGATGGGGCGGAGAGGGAGAACGCCGACTATCGTCTTCATATGGTCGGGACTGATTGCTATCACAATCTCGCTGCTGTGGGTGGCCATTAAACCTCCTTCGGCCAATTCTCGGATTGGTGGTTCATTCTTCTTCCTATAAACATAATTGCAGTAGGTTTAATGTAATCATGAGATTAAAACATAAACTTTAAGATAATCCAACACATTAGCATTAATGAAAGGGAAGGCTTGAAGGATTTATTACCTGGCTTGCCTCTGCCGAAGCTGTTTTCTTCTCAAAGCTTCTTCTCTTCGCCTGGAACTATCTCCAGGCTCCGCCAGCTGTTCTACCAGTCTTGGGCTTCTTCTTATGGCTTTGCCTAGGTTTAGGGTATGTATATCATTTATATATTTATGATTCCTGCAAAATTACAAGTATGCCATTCTTAGATATTATCAATAAGAGTCTTTAGGCTGTAATAAGTTGGGATCAGGTTTGAAAAGTTTATATCTACAAACTTTTTTTAGTTAACGGTTTTGAAACATTGTTAGATTCCAATGAGCTTCCTCCACCGAGATTTGGTTCTCAAGATGGGGATCAATAAGCAAAAACAAAAGAATATATGTTATGGCAGCTGATTGATAAGAATCTCGTTGTTGATTGATACGAAAGCTGACTCTCTGACGTAATTACACCGGTACCCGGGTCTGAGTCTGTCTTGCGGCGTGGTCACGCCGCCTTCGGGCGTAGCGGCGTGACCACGCCGAAGGCAGCCATCGCGTAACAGCTAGAGGTCCGACGTGGCCACGCCATCCCACAATGTAACTACGTCATGGGCTTTGTCTTGAGGCGTGGTCAACCCGCCTTTGAGCGTACAGACCCCTCAACCCTTATGGGGATGGGGTTAGGCATGGTCACACTAGACCCTTATGACCTATTTTTCACTATGTGGGTCCGTTAAGTGCATTTCGCTGCACGAAAAGCTTTTAATGACTGGATCAAATCATACAGACCTTAAAATAATCATTCAACTTTCCCTAGAATGGGGGAATGTCACAGATTTTTGGTAGTCATTATTGGGCGCGATCAGGACGAAGTGACCCTAGTCCGGAGATGACATGCATTTGATAACGTCCCGACGGATTCCTTGAGTTACATGAAAGCACGCGTGAGCGACGAACCCTCTCACAACATCACAGGGGAATCCGATATTTATGCATCAAAAATCTATGCCAACATTGAGTTTAAGTTCAGCATTTTTGGTTGAACATTATTGGTCAGACCTAAATCTTTTCCACCATCATTTACACAAACATACAGAATGCAAACTTCAACATATTTAAAAATAATTTTCACACAAATAATAAAACTTAATTAAACTTAAGTTTTGCAAAGTATTTTCTAACTTAAATAAATCACCTCAAAAAGCATACAAGTTTTATATGCTCAACTCTTTGAAGCTTAAATGTTTGCACGTGCTACAATCGATTCTTCTAATATTTAAAATATACGATTTGAGAATGTTGAGCAGGCTAATTGCATATTTATGCTTCGAGAAATTTGCTTGCATTTTAGAACTTCAATAAAATCACAATTTTAAATTTCAAATTGAAAAATATTAAAATTATGTTCATTCTTGAGCGGGTTGCGGACAATATCGTAAGCCTCATATTTTGTCAATTTGATCCTCCTCCCTATATGAATTAGAGTTGAGAAGATCGAGCCCCACTTTGATCCTCCTCTTGGTTAAGATTGAAGTTGATAGAACTAACTACTTTTTGAATGCTCAAGACACTAACTTTAAATCAAATTATAAAATAAGCATTTCAACATAAATCCTTGATGATGGTCATATTAAATGTAATTTTTACTTAGCGGAGTCTACTTTCTAAATTAAGCTCAAAAGAACATCAAAATTAAATCAAATAATTTAGGCTATAAACTCGATCTTATGTAAGCAAGATATAGTCAATAAGGTTTAATGTTGAATGCAAATCTCATCCAGAATAGGCTTATCTTAAAATCAAAAGAAAATATAAAAAATTTAAAATACTTGAATGAAATTTATTATGTGAAAGCAAAGAGCAAAAACTCATCCGCCTTCACAATCACATCGATGGTGACAAATCTAATTTTAATCTAAGCTTGCATAGAATTAATGTCATGTTAGGGATGCTACTAAATGCATGCTCAAAATAATTTCATGAAATGATAACGTGACCTGAGACCTCTGTCTATGTGATTTTGTTGTCAAATGACACTATAAAGAAGTGATTATGACCAGAGCACTTTGATCGTTTGATTTGTTTTCCGATTGTCACTATTTTATTATATAACGGTTGTAGCTCGTATGTTCTTCAATGATATTCTATCATTTCAAGTTATGAATCATAGAGTATATTTGATATGATAGATAAACCTCTGTAAAAGCACCCCAGAGCTACAAGATTCTTCTGGACAAAGCAACTCATGATTGATGATAAGGATCTTCTGTCACGTTAAATTGACTACCTCGTTTGAGTAAGTAGATAAAGAGTCGTGAAAACTCGAGATGATAGAATCATGTAATCTTGATTAGATTCATTATCTTTTCCCCCACCATCCACTCTAATCTCACGAAAATGATTTCATAATTTAAAATTTTAAATATATTGCTACTATATGCTAAGCAAGCTACTTCTAAATGACTATTTTAATTGAAAGTGTCCTCCCGTTATGGGCTTGCGCCTATCGGCAACCTCAAATTCCAAATCTTAAAGTCCTAATAAAATCTCAAGATAGTGACTTCTAAAATGTTAACAAAAAAACTGATAATAAACTCTCATCTCATTCATATTTTTTTCAAGGGAGGTCGGAGGATTCAAATTTTCGAAGCCCACAGTCCGTAATAAGTATGATTTCCAGGGCTTGTGATAAATGAAGTGTATAGGTTAGGTATGTCATATATCTTCTGTTTAAAGTTACTTTTAAATATTTTTTTAGTATTTCTGCTTTCAAAATCTTTCATCGTGATGATTATAAACTTTAAAAAGGCAAACTTAAGAACAAAGCATGTCAAGATAGACCCACCAACTTGTAGAGGCAGTTCATTCATGATAGGTTGAGTCACACCCGCTAAACCGTAAAGCCAGCATGCAGGTCAAGTTACACTTGGTTAGCTCGGGCACCAGCTAAGCTTCCGACTCATTGCCAAGTCTACATGGTGTTATCGGCTAACCTTTTTATCAGCCCCACGACAGCTCCTGACTTACCAAGTGCAACTCAAGAGTTCGTCGATGAGAAGATCAAGAAGTTTGCCTAGCATATAATGTAAGCCTTATTTGACACTATCCCTCCCATACTAGGAAATTAGGAACACATACTTGGCATTCCATCTATTCCCCAAATGATCCATCCACAGGCTACAAGATAACCAAAAACATTTAACATAGACACACACATGTATGTATATATGTTATCTTATTCTACAAAGTTTATTTGTGTATGATGCCTTTTCTACTTATGTATTAGGCCGAGACATCCTTCACATATAAATAAAGAAGGGAAGAGTCCAAAGTCATTGGAAGAAGACAAGTGGCACATCATATCCCACTTATGAGGCATAAATACATTTTTTACACTCTCAACCCTCCTTCCAACCTTCCTTTTTCTCTGCCCTTCAAGCTTCCTAATTTGAGTGGTATGTTTATTACATAAAATATCATGTTGCTACATGGCATATTTAATAATTGCAGCATGACACATTTATTCATTCCTGAGTGCCTTCAACCAAATATTTGATATTTATAAAACTAATTATGCAATTTAAAGCTACACAATTCTTATGTATTTGACATAACTGAAATGAGGGAAATTTATATACATAGCATACAATTCTTATGTATTTACATATCTACTCCTAAGCTTTCATATTTGCATACATGACACTGGTGTTTTAAACATATTCATAAAAATGTGTATTTCACTTCTAAAAAATGATAATAGTGTCATTTTAGATATGATATTAAATATTTGAGTGTTATGTGTGTAAATAAGAAGGCGAAAGTGTGAGATAAATAAATACATGAAAATTGTGTGTCGTGTACGTTTCATTTTGGATCGACTTCGTTCGCTATGGAATTTCTCACTCTTTTCTTTTTCGAGTTATTATTTTGAATTATTAGAATTCGAATGACTTCGAAGTACTAGAATCTCAAATCGAATGACTCTGAATTACTAGAATATTCATTACTCTAACTCGAAAGAAAAAGAGTGAGATTCATGAAGAGAAGAATCTTCAAAATCTCGTACTAAGCTTCTTGGTCGATAGTTCGATGTCACTGCGTGACTTCATGGATGTTTCACCCTGAGGGATGTAGCTCACTCAGGCAGTCTGGACGCTGGCCAAGAGCAGAGGATAGGGGAAGAGTGAGAAATTCACAGGCTCCCCTTAATTTTTAATTTCGCCACGCTTCTTATTAAGTTCTAGTTCTAGACTCGAACCAACCTTTGCTTGAATATATGAATTGAATGACCATCAATAATTATCCAAAAAAAAAAAAAACATTAAATCTCGTGCTTCTGCACTTTTCATATTGAATTTGCTTTGAGATTGGTGCTTAAAGTTTTGAAGCACCTTCAAATATAATGAATGTTCTCAGTGTGGAGATGGTGATGAAGCAGAAGCAACAGCCAGCTTGGATCTCAATTCCTTCCTCAGTATCTTCCCTGAAGCTGATTTTGGTATGGCATGAACAAAATGGACTCTATGCAATCTTTTGTAGAACACCACCTGAAACAAATAAATTATCTTAAATATCTTAAAATAGGGGCATTTACATACACACCACATAGCTCTTATGTATTTACTTATCCTACACCTAAACTTTACTTTTTTTACATTTACATTGCCCAAAATTTGCAAATCAAATCAAATAAAATCACCATTTTATATTTTAAAAGTGAAATGCAACTTTTTATATATAGGTAAGTTGGTAAGTATCTAAAAATTAAAGTTGGTGTTAGCTAGATATGTAAATGCAGGAATTGAGATTAGGGGCTGTCAAAAAAGCTCGTCATTCGCGAACGGTTCGTTTTCGGTTTGTCAAAGAGTTCGTATTCGGTTTGTTAAAGAGTTTGTGTTCGATTTGTTTGATAAGTAAACGAGACGAATGTGAACAATTTTTTTTCGTTGGGTTAGTTAAACGAACAAAACAAGAACAGTGATGCATTCGTTCGTGTTTGAATCGTTATTGTTTGAAATATAAAATAATTTAAAATAATTATATATATAAATTTATGGTAATTTATGATATTTTCAAAAATTAAATTTTATAGATTATAATATATAATAAATTAATAATAATAATATATTAATATACTATGTTAGTAATATACTAATATAGATATTATATATTTATATAACATAAGTTATATAATTAATATAATATATTATTTATATATATTAATATTAGGGATGTCAAATAGCTCGTCGTTCGCGAATAGCTCGTGTTCGGGTCGTTCATTAAGAAACGAACACAAACAGTGACTTCACGAATAATTTCGAACACAAGCTTATTTCAAACAAACTAAATTTCAAATGAATCGAACACGAGCACAAGGTCTTTTTCTTCGTATTCGGCTCGTTTACACCCTAATTGAGATGTATTGTTGGAGAGGTAATATTGGCATGGTTGGAAGAAATAGAGCTAAAAATAACGCTAAATCCAACCAAATAAAGTCCTTATTTTTATTTTTATTTCCTTTTGGTAAGTCAAATAATAGATGGAAAATAAGGTCTTTTTTTGCAATATTAAACAATTTTTATTATTCCTAAACTTGACTAAATGAAACAATTAAGGAGGGAAAAAGAAAAACCTGCTTGGCTACGAACTCCTTCACAATCTCTTCGGTGAGTTCAATGTCTTGGGATGGAACAATGAAAGCAACTGGAACCTCACCTGCAACTTCATCATTTTGCCTGTTTAAATCGCACCGAAAGCCGATTAAAATAATTATGCATGAATTAATTATTAACTAAATGTATGAAGAGGGATTAAGAGGTGATTTACGAGACAACAGCAGCATCAGCAATGGCTGGATGGCTTACTAGAAGGGCTTCGAGCTCTGCTGGGGGCACCTGCAACCATTGCCAAATTATTAGGGTTTGCAGCAGTAAAAGAACTATCGGGTTCACATGTGAGTTTGCAATTGAATTTGCTAAATTTTTTCCAAAAAAAATGAAGATCTACACACATTCCACTAATTAATTCTTTTGTATTTGTTAGGAGTTATGATAGGAAATAATTTATTCTTATAAATAAATTATTTCCTTAGAATTAGAGTTATGTTAGGAAATAATTTATTCTTGTAAATAAATTATTTCCTTAGAATTAATGAGATATTTATTTCCCTATTTTATGTTGTTTCCTATATCTCCTAATAATTAATGCGAATTAATTATTGGAGATACTAAGTGTTATACCCTTCCTTTCATATCATTTACCTTTTATTATTTTTCCTATTACAAGATTATTGTAAGGGTTATTTATAACCACATTCATATCAATGAAAAGGTGTGTATTCCACCACATTATTCTGAGTTTTAACATGGTATCAGAGCAAACACGATTCTGAGTCTTACCATCTC